CGAAATTCAAAAAAACAAACAAACAATTCGTGGACAAACAAACACACAACGTGAACTAACATAAGACACACCTTGAAAGCAACGAAGATAAAAAATGTACAAGTGAAATTAAATATGTGCGAAAGACTTGAGTATTAAAACATAACTAACAAATCATATAATTGGAAAGATTAGGCTTACAGTTTTAATTTTCACTCATTTATTTTGAAGTTATATCTTCTCATCACCATTAATTACAATAAATTTCTTTGTTAATTTTTTCTCACGTTTTTGCAATGATCATACAAAAGTATCTACTTTCCCTCTTGAACGCCCCCCCCAACTTATACCTCTAGAAACCGGGTTTCGATACTCGTGGTTGGCAGAGTACGGCTACCCCACTGTGTAGCTTTGTTTGTTTGTTTGTAATTATACACAAAGCTACACAATGGGCTATCTATGCTCTACCCACCACGGGTATAGAAACCCGGATTCTAGCTTTGTAAGTCCGCAGACATACCGCTGTGCTACTGGGGGGGGGGGGCGTGTAGCTTTGTGCCTAATAACAAACCAACAAACAACAACAATCCCTCTTAAGCACTTAATATACAGCCTACCATGCATGCTTAGCAAGGGGAAGCAGCATAAATACAGATGCGTCGGCCAAGTACTTTGAATAATTAAAATCACCTTATTAGCGGTATTGTGGGCGTAGTTAATCCTTTTGGTTAATTAATAAATCTCCCACTTTGCACGCGAGTTGCACTGGCTCGATGCGGGATGTAGGAATAAAACAACAACAACAAAAACAAAAATCAAAACAAAAACGGTTACGATACCAACAGAAAAACTGGTGCCAAGTCAATTGATCATCGCACAGTTTTGAGGATATTGGGCTCACAAGCAATTTACACGTGGTTACCTGAACGCTTTGAAAATTAACAAAACAAGATTTCAAAAGAAAGCTCATATTGACTGAGATCGTTTTTAAAACCAATTTACAGTAACTCTACTGCATCCATTGTGAAAGGGTAACACCTAAGAGGTTTGTTTACTCTTTTCTCCATTAATGGGGGGTACTTTGATAGATAACAAGGATAACTAAACAGTACATCCTCCTAATGGTGTTTGCTTTGAGTAAAGCCTTTCAGTACTGGAAACTTTTATGATTGGCAGAGACTTTTGTGGAGTGGTAGAAAATAAACCAGAAAATACTGTGGTCATCTAGTTTTAAGATGATAATCAAATATCCGATAGGAAGTAAGTAAATGGACAGTGTTGTGCCAGCAATGAAGATTTTTTTTTTTGTGGGGGGAGACAAAGTCTAGGTTTCATATTATGCTTTGGATGTACGATGGTTCTATTTATGAATCATGTTCATGTCTTAAATTCCCGCGGATATAAAAATATGTTACGTGCAACACATTTCAGGGGCCTTATCCAGAACCTAATCATATGGAGCCTGGCATGGCGTGGTGGTTAGGGTGCTCAACTCGCGATATGCGAGTTTCGGGTTCGAATCCCAGTCTCCGAATATGTTTCGCCCTTTCAGATGTGGGGGCGTTATAATGTGACGGTAAATCCCACTATTCGTTGGTAAAAGCGTTGTACAAATGTTGGCGGTGGGTGATGTTAATTAGCTGCCTTCCCTCTAGTCTATCACTGTTAAATTAGGGGCGGCTAGCGTAGATAGCCCTCGAGCAGCTTTGCGCGAAATTCAAAAGAAACAAAACTAAACTTAACATCTTTGACAATTCTGAGAACATCTGAAATGATTAATTCGAAACATTAAACGACAGACGTCGGTTATTCGTGAATTTTCCGGGTTTTTGAAACAACAAACTGAACCAAATAACCTACTGGAACCTACTTAGAGCACGCCAAAGAGTATTTAGGAGCATTTCACCTCTCTCATACTTCATAACCTGATACTTTAGGCAAGGCAGTGCAAACCCAGAGCTGTATTTAATGCCTAATTGCAAAATATAAACAAGTCATAAACGAAATAGGCCCTGCATGGTCAGGTGGTTAGGGAACTCGACTCGCAATCTGCAGGTCGCGGGTTCGAATCCCCGTCCCACCAAACATGCTCGCCCTTTCAGCCGTGGGGGCGTTATAAGTGACGGTCAATCCCACTATTCGTTGGTAAAAGAGTAACCCAAGAGTTGGCGGTGGGTGGTCTTCCCTCTAGCCTTACACTGCTAACTTAGGGACGGCTAGCGGAGATAGTTCTCGTGTAAGTTTGTGCGAAATTCAGAAAACAAACAAACATAAACGAAATAAATTTATCTTAATTGAACAATGCTGAACTAGTCTTAGCTGAACTGACAAATGCTCTAACCGGTAGAGGAGGTTCTATCGCATTATGGCGTCAATAACTTGAGTGGAAAACGAATCGTATTGTCTTCTTTTCGCACTCGAACACGTGGTTCAGATAAACATCTTTCTGTTCTCTAACTTACAGTAGAAAAATCCCACCCGCAACGGTACATCTGATCTATTATAACGCTAAAAATCGAGTTTAGATACCTGCGGTATGCAGAGCAGAGATAGCCAATTGTGTAACTTAACAGGAAACAAACCAACACACGTAACAGTGCTATCTCCTGAAAGATTTTATTCACCGTATATGGAAACCTAATTAATCTTTATCTCTGAATTATATATATATATATATATACAACTTCTGTTTCGCTTTAAGAACTTTAAAAATATTGATATAGTTTTCTGTTTTAAAACCGTTATTTTTTATGTAACTATAAATCCATTGATAGATATGATGTGTATATCCGTAATGAATGCAACGTTAAGTCCACTAATTTCAAATATAAATTAGGTCTGATTTATCATAATAAAATTCACAGTTTTCAGTATTACTGATAATATGATTTAGCACATCAGTGTATACACATTTCAGCATTTCTTGTGCATTTTTAAAATTGCTTTTCGAATTTAATGTGTTTTTTTTTGTTTCGAACACTCGTTTTGCTGCTATAGTTAAACGACATTTTTTGGCTATAAAATTGTTGTTGATAAATATGTAGCAAAAGTAATAATTTTTCACAGTTTACGATGACAATGAATTGACTAGTTTCTTTCAATAAGCCTCAATGGCGAATCGTATTTTTTTGTTTAATAATCCGCCTGTTGTTGTTTGTGTGAACTATCAGACGTTTTCAACAAAGGTATGAAATATTACACAGGATTTAAACGATAAATGTTGACAATATATTTTGTTTTGCAGGTATATTTCTGCGTATTATGTTGAGAAAGTGAAAATTGTTAAGTAAGAAGCGATTTCTTTTATATATCTTCGTTGGGCATGCATATGCTTCGTAAACTATTCAACAAACAAGTTTGAAAATACACCTAATTTTTAGATATTTATGATTTTTAAATAAGATGTCGTTGCTGTACCAGCAACGAGCATAAAAGTAAATTTTGAAACTGTTTGTTGAAAAAGTTTATGTATATATGAAAGTGCAATAGTTAAGCATGTTGAACGTTCCGGTGAATGTCATGTCTCTAAGGTGTTAGCATGCAGTAGTGCTGCCACCTAGTGTTCTTTTGAGTGGCGCCCTTAGCATTGGTGGTTCTGCATGGTGAAGTAGTTGGTAATGTTTAAGGAATGTTCCCGGTAGTGTAGTCTTTGTAAATAGATGTATCATTCTATTTATTTGTATATTATTTTATGTATAATTAAAAACGTTAGGATAATGAATGTTTTAAACAACGGTATGTCAAAGGTCACTAACATGTAATTTAACCTTTCGTTTGCTCATATGAAGTACAAATCACGTGTATGATGTAGTTGTACTCGTAACGTATGACAGGAGCTACAACAACAAAACTTCTTGAGGCTCGTCTGTTTATTTATTTGTGATAACTAAATTTAGAAATTCTCATTAAAATCTTGTTCATGGTTTTGCCAGCATTACCAGTGATGCTCTTAAAGTCTGATTTTCGTTTGTTATTAAAACGTTACTAACCCAATTAATACAGCTGTGTTTGAAGTTGATTCATTTCAATCTATAATAAATATTATTGTTTTATAGAAATAAATGTTACCGTAAACCATAGAGCAGTGGTCGGCAACCTTTTTTGATCGCGGGTCAATTTTTTTTTTGTGTTGAAAAATTTAGAATTGTGTTGGGTCAGTGATAGTCATATAATTATTAATACCGGTACACGTATTTTAAATTTGTATGTTTATTTACATACAAAAAAGTTAATAGTTCGACCAGTTTGATATTTTCCCCTGAAATTGATCTTAAAATTCTCCGTAGCCGTGACTCTTTCCTTTAATATCGTTGTTCTTCTCACATAGCCGAGAAACTTGAACTGAACAATGATTGTGCCCTTACGGGCTGCAATGGTGAAGCCAACTTTTGGCGGGTCAGCCAAATTATTGCCGACCACTGCCATAAAGTTTTGTAAAATATAGCGGTAGGCCTGTTTGAATATCTGATTAGTGCCAGTACTAGTAGTATATTATTGGCAATATAATGAAACTTAGTAAAAAACTGTTTTTTCACAACTTTGTTTTACCATTTGTGCTACTTGCAATATAGCCACACGAAAAAAAAAAAATTTACACCGACATTTAATAATGAAAAAAAATGCGTAATTGTTGATTTTATTAAACAAATATGTAATATTATACATTCATCATTCATTTTACGCAACAAAGCTGGAACGTTACGTACGTTATATTTCCGAAATGTTTAATTTAGTAAATTACATGTTGAAAATTAGTCTTATTGCTGTTACATAATAATGATTCGGTCCGCCGATGGGTCAGCGATAAGTTTATGGACTTACAACGCTAAACTCCGGGGTTCGATTCCCCGCGGTGGACGGAGCGCAGATGGACGTTTAGCTTTGCGCTAAAACAAAATCAACAATATATTTATCTAAATATGTGTTCCAAATATCAGAAAAGTTGTAGTAATCTTTTTCCAAAAGTTATTGTGGAAAAAAAAACAATTATCGAACTTATTGCTATATTTTTCAAACATTTTATTTTAGTAGGAGTATTTAAAAAAAAAACATTCCTTATTTCATATGACTAGTAGGCATAGTAGTTATGGTGATTGTTCTACTAATTAGTTATTATTTGTATAAAATACGATGTATTTTAAGTTTTTATTTCCTTTTGTGAGAAAATAAAAACTAATGCTTGGTTTTTTGGACTTAGAGAAAAAAATTGTGAGATATAAATAAATTACGTTTTTTTTGTTAGGCCAGTGTTAGAAAATAACGTTTTTCTATAATTGTTTATTTTTTTAGTCCAGTGTCTTCTTATTACCAAAGCCAACTGGCGCAGAAAGACTACATATGTAGCATGAAAGAAGACAATGGAATGCATACTTGTGACAAGCTGCCACCATATCGATATCAAGACAGGATGTGTAATTCATCTGTTCAGCCTAAAAGCACGAACACTCCCACAAATTCATCATGTGTGAACTGGAACCAATACTATACAATTTGTCGTGCAGGTGATAAAAATCCATTTCGGGGAGCCATATCATTTGATAATATAGGATTAGCATGGGTAGCTATATTTTTGGTAGGTGTTTGATACAATGATGCATTGGTATTTCAGCATGAAATTGTAACTTATTTTGACCTAGACTACAGATATTTCTGTCTTTCAGTTTATTCATTTTTTAAAAATCAACCGGATATGTATCTATACTGTTCTGGGGTACTGTGACTGTTTTCATCAGTTTTTACACTGTTAGATAAGCCCACAAGATAACAGCTAGATGAAAGAAGATCAAATATTTTGTAGAGGGCATTTCTCAGCCAATTGATCATTCAATACAAAATCTATGAGAATTCACAAAAATAAAAAACAAAACTAAGCCTGAAAAACTTACCATGCCACTAATAATGAATGAAGAGATTAATAAATATTTCTCAGCTGGAGCTCAATACAGGAAACTTTGCTGAAACTAGTGTTTTAAAGTACCAGGTTTCAAGTCTCAACCAGGTAACCCCCCATTCTGATAGAATACACTCACTCAAACCAAACACTCTTGGGTCCGCAGTCCAATATTTGCCATTTGTAACACTTTGTTACGTCTCCGTTCGTTAGTTGATTTTCCGTAACTTTGTTCCCACGAAACTTTAGCGACACAAGTCCTTTCTTAATAAAACTTGGAAGTTGAGCACGTTCGTTGTTATAGCGCGACTGTTGAAAATAAGTGTATCGGTAAAGTTATATTCAGAAAGAATAAAAACAACACTCTCTGACTGCAGTTCAATTACTCACTACACTGTTCCCGTCACGTTGTGACCATCTTATATATACCAAACTACCCCAATCTTGTAAATGCTAGGGCATTCACGAAGGAACAGGATATTTCTAGAAACGTGGCATGACACTAGTCACGTGACCTCGCTGACGCAACAATATGTTGCACATCAGACTGAAAACCAAAGTAGTACAGTAATGTACAGGAAACATTTTTTTTTTAAATTTTCATATGTGCATGGAAATATGTGAATGGAAAACTTGCTGGTAATATGGAACCACCTTGACATAAAAA